TTTTTTTTTACAAATAGCAGTAAACTCTTACCAAATGCTAAATATTTATCAAATAAAATACTTTGTTTTACATAATCATATTAATAAATGAGCAGGAAAATCATATGCTAACATACAATATTTATGTTCCCATTTGCAAAGTCGACTGAGACCTAACAAAGTCTTAGTCGCTGATGTCAGTCATTTAAATCGCATACGATTTTCGTTCGTTGTCCCATTTTACGTTTGTTCTGGGCTGGGCTTGGCCACTTAGCTAAGGTACATTGGACTTTGATAAGGCCCATTGTTAACTAGAGCAATACTATAAGCGGCCACTACAAAAACAAGGGTGGCTTGTTTTCTACTAATGTTCGGACAACCTGCACTTGGCATTTTTTTCTGCTAGTTACTCACCTCTCATTTGGTGATGCATATTTTTTTCATTTTACTTTTTTTTGTTTTGTTTTGCTTCCTTTTATTATTATTTTCACCTATTTTGCAATCTCACATTGATATTGTGTCCCCGTGATGATAAAAGATAGAAAATTAAAAAAATAAATAAGATAGAAAATAGTTTAAAAAAAAACTTGTTTGGCCATCCCTGCTTCCGTGCTTCTTCCCCCACCTTCTAGTTGTGCGTGTTGTGCTTGTTGCAGTAGCATGTGTGTGTAGTTACACATGATAGTGTAGATATGCAACTGGTTCCTAATTTCTAAAAAAAATATTCTTCAAATTTCTCCTTCATATGGCATGGTGGTAAAAATATAAATTTTCGACCCCAAGATACAATTGCGTTGAAAATATGTAGTTACAGTCGGGGTAACACTTGTAGTTGCGTATCTGGTAGCAGATATGCAAATTCCCCCTTCCCCCGACAAAAACAAAATCTGCCCCAAGTTGCAGTTGTGTTGAAGACATGTAGTTGCAGTCGGGGTTGACACTTGCAGTTGCGCACCTAGTGGAAGATATGTATATTCGCCCTTTCCTCAACAAAACACATAATTTGTTCCAAGTTGCTGTCGTGTTGAAGACATGTAGTTGCAGCCGGGGTTGGCAGTTGCGGTTGCGCACCTAGTGCCATATATGCATATTCGCCCTTTCCCCAACAAAACACAAAAACTCTCCAAAGTTGCAGTCACGTTGAAGACATGATGTTGTAGTCGGGGCTCACACTTGCAGTTGCACATCTAGTGGCAGATATGCATGTTCACACTTCCCGCAACAAAACACAAAATCCTCCCAAAGTTGTAATTGTGTTGAAGACATACAATTGCAGTTAGGAGCGGCACTTGGAGTTGCATGTCTAGAAATGCAGTTGTAGTCAAGGGCAATAATTGCAGTTGGGTGACTAGTGGAGGACATGCACCTTCCCCCAATCCCCCTCCTCCTGACAAAAACATCATAGAGTTGCAGTCGCGTTGAAGACATGCAGTTGCAGTCGAGGCGACACTTGCAATTATGTGCCTAGTGGCGGACATGCAACTCATCTCTGTCCGGACAAAAACATCACCTAGTTGTCGTCGCGTTGTAGACATACAGTTGTTGTCAGGGGCGACCCTTGCCGTTGCATGCCTAGTGGTAGACATGCACCTCCCCTTCCCCCGAAAAGAGCACCACAAAGTTGTAGTCAGGGGCGACACTTGCAGTTGCATGCCCTGACAGACATGCAACTGCATCCTCCCAGTGAAACACCATGAATCTGCAATCGCATTGAATACATGTACTTCCAGGTGGAGGCGACTAATGTAATAGCATGTGTTGTGGTAGACATCCAAATATCCCCTCCTTGACAAAACACTATTGAGTGTTAATTGTAGTTACAGACATGCAATTGTAGTTCGGGGGCAATTGTGCAAATGGAGGGCGCTATTTTCAAATTTAAAAAATAATATTATTAT